AAAGAAAGAAAGAAAGAAAGAAAGAAAGAAAGAAAGAAAGAAAGAAAGAAAGAAAGAAAGAAAGAAAGAAAAAGAAAGGGAGAGAGGAATGGAGGGAGAGAGAAAGAAAGAAAGAGGGAGGGAGGGAGGAAGACAAAGAAAAAGAGAAATAAAGAGGAAGAGAAAAAGTAAGAGCAAGAGTAAAAAGAAGGGAGAAGGGAAGGGAGAGAGAAAGAAAGAAAGAAAGAAAGAAATAGAGAAAGACAAAGAAAGAAAATGAGAGAGGAAGAAACAAGATAAGAAAGAGAAAAAGAAAAAAGAGGGAGAAGAGAGAGAGAAATAGAAAGGAAAGAAAAGGAAAGAAAGATCGCAAATGAGAGAAGGACAGACATTTAGAGAGAAATAGGATGAGAAAAAGAAAGTGAGAGAAGAGAGAGAGAAAAGAAAGGAAGGAAAGAAAGAAAGAGAAGAAAGAAAGGGAAGGAAGGTCACGCAAGTACAGAGAGAGGTACAGAAATTTGATAAACAAACTTGCCCTGTCTATATCCTGAATCCCTTGGAGATTCATCCTACTGTAGGAGAGCTATAAATACCTTGTTTTAATACAGTCCATTTTATCTCTTGACCGGTGTTTATTTTTAAAGCTGCCCAGAGCCTTAATGGCAGGAGTTGGCTGCCCTTGTCCGCAGGGCAGCCAATTCCGCAGAGCATATTGTGGGTTATTCTATTTTATTTTTTTACTAACAGAGGAGGACTGAACATGCTTTTGGAAAGAGCAGAGCCGGTGGGCGAGGCTATTTCTCCTGCTCTACGGTGGAAGGAAATGTCAATAATAGGATCAAAGAGAAAGCAGATTCCAAATTTAATCAAAGGAGGGCAAGATACGGAGGAAGAGGAGGAGATAACTGGGTAATCCAGCTTCTCTTCTGAGAAATTTTGCATTACACGAAGTCCTCAACTGACAATCACAGGTGGGGCCGGAATTTCCATGGCTAAGCAAGGAGGCTTGTTAAATGAATAGCGCCGGATTTTACAACTTTTTTTTGGCCATTGTTGTTAAGCGAATCGCTGCAGTTGTTAAGGAAATCGTATGGCTGTTAAGTGAATCTGACTTTCCCCATTGCTTGAGGGAAGCGGACTGAGAAGGTCTCAAATGCGAATTACGTGACACCAGGATTCTGCAGCCATCATAACCATTATTTAAAAAAAGCCTTTGCCAGACCTCGAATACAGCTTGTCTGCCTGGAATCCACACTGTATATCGGACATTAATACAATTGCATGGGTCCAGAGCAGGGGTGGGGTCCGGCCGCCATTACTGCTAGTAAAATTTTTTTGCAAGCTTATTGAAAATGGAGGCCAACGATCTAGATCAGTGTTTCTCAACCTTGGCGACTTTAAGTCCTGTGGACTTAAAGTCGCCAAGGTTGAGAAACACTGATCTAGATGGCTCCGTTCATAAGCACAGCAAACACTGCCCCATTCAAGATAGGATATTTTTTAGAAAAGAAGGCGGAAGATATATGTTAAAATTAAATACGTATATTGAAAGGGAATTATAAATACCATCAAGATAAAATGGGGCTCGTTCAGAGGCTGAACTACACCAAGAAAATGAGATGAAGAGTGAAAAGTAGAGGAGAGAGGTAAGGGAAGAAGAGAGGGATGGGAGAGAGGGCAAGTGGGGGAAGAGGAGGAGAGAAAGGAGGAGTGGAAAGGGGAGAGAGGAGAAGGAGAGAGGAAGGGGAAGGAGAGAAGAAAAGGATGACAGACGGAAGAAAGGAGGTAGGGAGGAGGAGGAGAGAGGGAGAAGAAAGTGATGCATAAGGTACAAATACGGTGTATGGAGAGCAGAAGAGCCAATAATCGTTTTGGGAGTTGATGGTAAGACAAATTGATGTAAACATTTAACAATACAATATGATGTTGGTTATATAATAGTATAGATGTGGTTATTTGTTATAAAAATGAAAAAATAAAAAAATATGGGGAAAAAAGACACGATATTTCAAAAAACCCTTACAGCAATTTTGACAGCTAACAAAAGCAGAGTGTTTGGATTAAAGAAAGCAGCCCCCTCACCCAAAAATCTAACCCAGGACATAAGCCATCAGACACAAATAAGAATTACCCAACAGAAACTATGAAGATCCATCCACCTGTTCAGCCAGTAGTTCAGCTGACTCAGGAACTGCATGCTTTGTGTGTGGTTTTGCTTGATCAATAAACTTTCCTTCCAATCAGCCTCCATGTTGCTTCCAGCATGTTTATCTCAACTTGGAACTGAACCAGATGGATTTTCCTTCAACACTACNAACCGCTGAACTGCTGACTTTTCTGATCGACAAGCTCAGCGTCTTAGCCACTGAGCCAGTGCGTCCCTGCCAATTGTGATTTATTCAATTAACCTTGGTTAAGCACAGACTGCTCAGTATACTTATCTTTCTTTTTTTCAATACTTTATTGTTAAAAATAAAAGTTGGACATGGTACAACCGTCTTGGCATTACCTCCGCCAGACAAAACAAAAGTATAACATGATTATCTTATGCATTCCGCATATATTACTAATTAGATGCACATGCTTAACCCCTTATCAATGTTACATTCACATAGTATAATCTCAGTATATTGTTTCATTCTCTTCGTTGAAGTTTCGTTCTACGTAACTCCTTCTGGTTCTCTCTTTCCTCCATTTGCATTTATTTCTGCAAGGGTATAAAACATTGAATTAAGCTGTGGTTGCTTGAAGGAATCACAAAGCACGTTGTTGTTTTTGCTGCCACAGAGCACGAGACAGCTGTATTCCCACCTGAATCCAGGTACGTCCAGTACTAGAAAAGAATC